ATAACAATAATAATAAATATGATAATAATAATAATAAAAATAAAAATAAAGATAATATCAATAACAATAATGATAACAGTAATAGCACCTTGACTAAGACACGTACACACAACCCTTCATGGTGCAATTTCTTTACAGTTTGGAGGGAGGGAGGGAGTACTGGAGGCGGGGGGTCCTGCGGGTTTTAATTGGTCGAAGGGAGGAGTGAACTTTGTAACACGTGATGGAATGTGTCACACTCCACTCCACTCCCTCCCTCCTCCTTCTTCCCCCCATTCTTCCTTTTCTTCTTCCTCCTCATCTTTCCATTCTACCTCCTTCTATTCTGCCTTCTCCTCCTCCTACCCCCCCCACTTCTTGTCCTCCTCCTCCTCCTCCTCCTCCTCTGTCTTCACCCCTTTCCTCCTCCTCCTCTATCTTTACCTCCTTCCTCCTCCTCCTCCCCACCATGAGACAGTTATATAAGTTCTCACATCACCACAAACAAAATATATTAAGAACCTTTGAGACTCCATCATGACGTCACATACATTCCCACGTCTTCAATTAAGGGAAAATCTGACAAACTTTTGAACTTTGTCAACATTTTTACAAAGTTCAGAAAATTTCGCACTTGTTCAGAATTTTCCTCCAATGATTAGAAATTTCGCGCTCTGCTGGCTCCTGTTTACCTCAACCACTATGACACACACACACACACACACACACACAGCGAGGACGTTATTGGTGATATTGATAGCATGGGTGTGTTGGGGAGAGGTGGTGGAAGTGGTAGGGGGAGAAAAAAAGAGGGAGGTAGTGTGCTGGAGACGGTAGGGAGGTAAAACAGAAGGTGGAGGATTGTTGGGGGTGGTGAGGTAGCGGAGGGGTGATGGAGGTGGTGAGGAGGCAATAGAGGGAGGGGGTGGGAAAGGTGGCGACCTTGTGGGGGTCGCTGGTAGCACCTGCTGGCCTGTGGGGAGAACTTGGTCACTCCCCTCCCCACCTCCCAACTCCTCGCGTTGTGTCCAGATAATAATAATAATAATAATAATACAGTATAAATGCTTTTATTACATTCTGTACCATTAATTATAATTATTATTATTATTATTATTATTATTATTATTATTATTATCATTGCTATCATTGCTTTTGTTATGATTATTATTGTTAGTAGTACATAGGAATAGTATTATAGGGGTATTGTTACAATTAGTAGTAGTAGTAGTAGTGGTGGTGGTGGTAGTGGGAGGGGAAGGGTCGCTTGGGAAAGTTGGTGACCCCCGAGGTGGTTGTGGTGGTACTAGTGGTGGTTCAGGGAAAGGAAACACCTGCACTGTACGCTTGCACCGCCCGCACACCCACGGCAACTATCATCGCCACACCATCTATCACTAACCACCGTCACACCCTTTACCACCATCCACACTTACTGTTACCACCGCCACACTTACTGTTACCACCATCCACACTTACTACTACTACCATCATAACCACAATCAACCACAACCACTACCCTCACCTACTAAACCATAACACCCCCCTCGCGGCTCTTGACTGGATTTCATTCATTGTTTCCTTAAGTTTTGCTCGAATGATATCTTTTAGGTTCATCTTCTGGGTGTCTTAATAGAGTCTAGATGTCCTAATAAGAGTCCAGGGGCGTCCCAGTAGATTCTAGGTGTCCTACTATACCTTAGAGCCCCAGGGGATCTCTTGGCTGAGCCGTCCTCACCTTGACTGTGTCGGTAATAACTCACCTGTGTTAGTTTACACGCCGGGTAATGTTGTGTTGGGTGTAAAGCCTCGCCCTCCCTCCCGCCCTCTCCTTGACCCCTTCTCCCCCTTCCTCTCCCTCCCTCCCTTCTTGACTTTCCTTCCTTCACCCTCCCTCTATTTTTCATCCCTCTCTCCTTCTTTCCCTTCCGCCTTTTCCTTGATCCTCCTTCCCTCTCCGTGTCCCTCCCTCTTCCCTCCCACTCTTCATTTTCCATCCTCCCTAAACATTCTTCGTCAATCGTTCTCCCCCCCCCCCTCCAGGTAAACCTTCTTCTTTCCCTCCTGCACGACCTCCATGTTTCCTTCACTCACGCCTTCCACCACTCAAACTACCCCTTCCTCCCTTCCCAACAATAACTAACACTCACACCCTCCACCCCTCTTCACACTCTCGACTCTCTACCCCTTCTCCTCCCTCATCCCTCCACTTCCCCACATCCCCCACGCTACCCCCGCCCCCCTCATTCCCTCCGCGCTACCCCCTCACCACCCCCCACGCCATGTTGAAGACGACTGCAGGAATTACAGTGGAGGAAGGACTACGACGCCACCTCGCGACCCCGACTTCCTGATCATTACTGGTCCACACGCCCCCAGGGCTCTTACACGCCTTCCATGCGCCTCCAGGGGTCCTACTAGTCTTTCATGCGCCTCCGGGGGTCCTACACGCCTTCAATACGCCTCCGGGGGTCCTACACGCCTTCCATGCGCCCCTGAGACTCCTACACGCTTTCCACGTGACCCCAGGGTTCCTACGCGCCTTACATGCGCCTCCACAGGTCCTACATGCCGTCCATGCGCCTCCAAGACTCCTACACGCCTTCCACGCGACCCCGGGGCTCCAACACGCCTTCCACACGCTCCCAGAGAATTTACACGCCTTTCACACGCACCTGTAGAGCTTTAAAACGCCCACACCAGTTTTCACCCTCGCTAAACACTCGTGTGTCTATATAAATCTATGTTGACAAGTTAATGGTCGATTGCGGTCGATCAGAGGTTTACGTGTAACCCCGGGTACCTTGTTACCTCTGCACCGTGTTATCCCGGGTACCTTGTTACGCCTTGTATCGTTTTACGCCGTGTATCGTGTTAACCCGTGTACTGTGTTACCCGTATATCGTATTACCCCGTGCAACCACTACCACCTCGCCCCGTACACCGTGTTACCCCATGTACAGTTTTACCCTGTGTACCATATTACCACCACTACCACCTCGCCTCCGTGTACCGTGTTAATATCAGGGTAAGTGATGAAACGCATCAGTGACCCAAACGGTATTAACGAGTTTACCTTACGACTGGCATTTAGGACTGACCTAAGAATACTGGGGAGTGACTCCAGTGTTCATGACTAAAGGGGGACGGGTGTCTGTCTGTCTGTCTTCTCGTAATTATAGTCCAACCTAACCTAATAAACCCTACCCGACCTCAACTAACGCAACATAACCTAATCTAACCAATCCTAACTTAACCAAGCCTAATCTAACCCAATCTAAACCTATTCTTACCCAGCCCAATCCAGTTCAATCTAATCTAACCCAACGTAACCTAACCTAACCTATGTCAACCTAACCTAACCTTATCCTAACCTAACCTTACCTAACCTAACCTAATCTTATGTTTCTTGTACCTCCCCATTCGTAAAATTATTTGTTTACGTGTACTGACCAACTATATGTACAGTATATGTTAAGCCATCATCTGTTTTGTTGACTGAAGATTCCACATAAATTCTCACTTCCATTCATCTTTGTCTTTGTTTTTCGTATACAACTCCATTCACCACATGTATGTTTACGTGGTAGTCTACACACACACACACACACACACACACACACACACTTTCATTCATCTCTCTTTTGTTGACATTTGTAGACTCCTAAAAGAAGTTCCTCTGTATGATGTGTGTTTGTATCTTACAGACCCGCGCACGTGGAGTCGTGAGGACGTCCACCGCTGGCTTCATCACGTGTCTGAAGCCCACCAGCTGCCCAGGGTCTTCCCCGAGAGGTTCCTCATGAACGGCAAAGCTCTCTGTCTTATGACCCTAGACATGTTCGTGCAGAGGGTCCCACTAGGAGGTAAACTGCTCTACAAAGACTTCCAACTTCGACTCTGTAACGCCATGTATGCCTGATAGACTCTGAACCACCAGGTGTGTGGGTCCTTTGAGGCTCAGGTGTCTTCAGATACCTGGCGAAGTGATGTGCTAAGAATCAGGTGTTTTGTTTTAGTGCCTGACGAAAGAGAGCGAGACCAAAAAAATTAGTTAGGTGTTTATATATCTGAGGAAACCAAAGTGAGTTCTGTAAAGTCGGGCTCAAGTCAGGTATATTAACCGGTAAATAAACTATGGTGAACTTAGGAGTAAGGTGTACATATACATACATGAATATTATCACCCAAGGATATGAAATAAAACGTCCAGAAAGTGTGAGTTAATGAAGAGTCCGACAGAACGATGTAATAAACCCAGATAGCCTTATTATGCATGAGAAAATTATCCACGAGATTCGGGGGTTGAGCTCAAAAGATCCAGAGAAAAAGTTGTTCATTTTTAAAGGAGTTTTCCCCCGAGTGGATATTTTGGACCATGTGTCTCTCAACGTTGTGTTTGCAGCCAAAGATTATAATATTGTACCAGCGGTTCCTCAGCTTGGCGGGTCCTGTGTGTCTGGTCCTGTTCCTACTGTGTTATTGTTTACAACTCTGTGGTTCCTCTCAGTCCAGACATAATTCCCGTTATCGCCACAGGAAATTCTTCGATACTTCTCAAAGGAATGATCTGACGTAAATGAAATAAGGACCCCCTTTTGTTTCTTTCTCCAACTATGAAAAGCATGAACTTTTCTTTAGTTTCTTATGATCAAAGGCAAAAGAAGGTGAGGAGACCAGCGGCTGCCCGTCTCTACAGTACAGCTGAGGTGATGGACGAGTGTTAGGTTCTACCACCCACCTCCTCACCCCTGCCGCCCCCCGTAGTGGTCAGTGTGTAGGGTGGTTGTCCAACAGGCCGTCGTTAGTCGCCGCCCTAGCCAGGCCCCCAACAACGCATCGACCAGCAAACAGGAAACCGGTACACGGCACTTCCTGGTGTCTGCCACGCTGAGGGGATGCGACGCACTTCCGTCCAACAGCGCCCCTCATCGGCCATCACCCACCGCCCTCCACCCCTCACTCTTCATCCGCTTTCCCCCCTTCTCTTCATCCGTCATCCGCTTTCCTTCTTCATCCCATCCGTCCCCCACCCGTCCTCCACACCCTCTGTCCTTCACATCATTCGGTCACAACGTCCAGCCGTGTTACGTCCCCACCTATATTTCACGGACGCAATCACATGAGATCACATCATCAACGTACCAAGTAACGCCCCTCACCATCAGCTCCATCACCATCCTTCACGCCCAGATGGTGAGGTCAACGATGTCCTGGACGCAAATGATCGGGCGGGAAAGACGGCCCCCTAACTCGTCCGTCTAAAGGTCCGACGTTTATACTAATGATCAGCCGTTCTACCAAGTTACCCCTCAATCCTTCACCTCGCCGCTCGTTTGTGTGTCACCCTGGGTCAGTGGTTGACCTCAAGAGCCTGAGGTTAACCTGATATGACCATTACCTGACCTCATAATACCAGGGTCTCGTCCGGATCTGTCCATTTATGTGTCGTAACCAGTTGACGCAACCTTGGTTCCCCGCAGGAAGGACAGTAGCCTTTAACCAGGGCTTCAGATAACGGTGATGACTGTATACGATAATGACCTCAGAAGATGGCGACTGTATATGATAATGACCTCAGAAGATGGTGACTGTATATGATAATGACCTCAGAAGATGGTGACTGTATATGATGATGACCTCAGAAGATGGTGACTGTATATGATAATGACCTCAGAAGATGGTGACTGTATATGATAATGACATCAGAAGATGGTAACTATAATTGAAAGTGAAATCAGATGAAGATGATGACAACAACGATGCCTTCAGACGAAAAAAACAGCGAAACCAAAACAAAACAGAACCAGACAGCCTCGAATGCTACACACACACACACACACACACACACACACACACACAGACCTCAACAACTAACCCAAACTTACACTATCTAGGACTGTCAGCTTCACATATTCACAACATCCGTCCAGCAACGTCCCCCTCCCCTCCCTTCCCTCCCCTCAGCTACCACATGGGCGTTGAGGGTGTGAGGGTTCATGGGGAGAGGGGGGGGGGAGGGGCAGGGAGCGGACATCCTGGCAGGCAGCCGATAGAGAGAATCAATGCCGTCGACACAAGACCTCCGCCCCGCCCCATACCGGTCAACTGTCGTTTCCGCTCCACACTGATAAAACCCACAACAGCGGGGACGTAGGTGACGGGGTCGAAGCTCAGCTGTTTGGGACCCCTGTGTGTGTATATATAAGACAGATGAACACAGGGGAGCGTCAACCAGGCCTCCTGTACCCCAGAATAATAATGGGAAGATGTACACACGCACGCACACACACACACAAACACAGACACACACGGTAATCAATATCAGTATAGATCCAACGTTTAAATGACTGGGAAATATGCATAATATTGATTGGTTAGTACAAGTGGAACCTGACATGTTAGTGTGTACGTGGCGTCTGTGTATGCGTGGCGTCTGTGTACTGTATATGTGGCGTCTGTGTCAGTGTCTTGCAACTTAAAAAATATATATCATAGATGGTTATTTTGTCTAATACACTATCTCGTATATTTCTTATAATATGGAAGTACAGGTGTAAAAAATAAAAAAAAATTGCCTTGAAAGTTAAATGTTTCTCACTTGTATTCAAAAATAGTAAAAAGAAAATAATTACTTTTAAATATTAAATTTCAAAATGTATTCAAGAAATAAATATCACGTGCCTAGAAAAATACTCCCAGGGAATTTTAACTTGTAAATACGAATTGTCAACAAATTTATCGACAAAGTCCACAATATATATATTTCTCCACAAATGCGTTCACAAACCCACTAAAAATTTATATTACTTGTAATCAAGAGCTAAACAAAAAGGTTCCAATTATTATCAGTTTTTTCAAGAATATTCATGGGAAATATCCCCATGATATTTTACGATAACAGGAAAGTAAAGTTTTTCAATCAGACTCACCATAGGAAGCTGGAGTCTTGTAATTTAGTGCAGACCCACTTGGTGCCGCCTGTCTCGTTACCTGGCAGATGGCCAGGTAAATAAGGTAGGAGGCTCCCTTTATGCTGGTTACCTCACACGATGTAGGTAAGGAGGATGAATGGGAGAGAGAAGGTAATGAGAGGGGGAGGAAAGCATGAGATAATGTTTAGGATAAGGAGAAGTAAGTGATAAAGGCGAAGCATTTAGGTAAGAAAGGATAGAAGAGTTAGATAAGAACACGTAAGGAGATGGAAAGGCAAGGAAGGCAGGGAAACATGAGGTGAGAACTCTTCTTCTCCCTCCTCCTCGTTCCGATCCAGCATGTGCCAAGCAGCTGGGCCTGGGAGGGAGGGAGGGCAGGAAACAGCTGATAGGACAACAGCTGGGCGCCTTCCCATCCTTACTTCAGATGCCCAGAACCTATTGTCTCTCTCTCTCTCTCTCTCTCTCTCTCTCTCTCTCTCTCTTACCTTTCATTGTCGTTTCCATCGATTTTCTATACCTCCGTACTTTCTAGAAAACTTCCTGTACTTTCTATTAAATTTCTTGAATTTTTAAAAATATTTTACCTTCCTTTTTATCAACTTTTTCTCATTTTCTCTTCTGTATAATTCATCCCATATCTATATATATCTATCTACAGTATATATATCAAGGTTAATCTCTCTCTCTCTCTCTCCTTTTTTCAAGACTATAAACCCGACACCGAGTAAACACCGAGCGTCATAGAGAAGAATTGGAACCCCATAACGTCCATTTAGGTCTAACTCCTCTATAATTACGCCCCCCTATTAACACGCCCCTGGACGCCTAGCTGCCAACCCCCTCCCTCCATAACACCCCTTAAACGCCCTGCCCTCTGATGGTGGCGTTCAAGCTTAATTATAAACACCGGAAGCTGAAACTCCCTTGATGTTAAGGCTATTTTCCTTTGTAGTTCCCGTGTTCTTTGAGTCTATAAGTCACCCCCCCCCCCCAACCGTGCTCCTTCCCATTGCTTCTGGACTTTCATGGGTAGTTTTCTTCTGTTTATTTTGTGTAAGTCCTTATTCGTTAATCAGTTACTGTCGTGTTTAACTTTCATCTGTTATTGTCCATATTTCCCGCCATCTTTCAGTGTCTATAGTTTCCTTCTTGTCGTTTATATTTCCTCGTCAACCTTCATTGTCTTCCTATCGTCTTTCTGCTGGTATTAGTCTCTTGTAAGCATATGATAATAAATAATCAATTAAGCCTTCATATCGCGACCTCACATATAGGAGAATAACTACAGTTTGTTATTAGTTTAACTTATGAATAATATCGGTGGTACAATAATCAGAGGGGCGCTAATAAACAGGGTTGAGCGGAGGTGCGAGTTGGTGGCGCCACCCATCCTCCTCGTGTTTACTGGTTCGCCCTTCCGGCACCGTTTACATACTGCCCTCCTACCCCCCACTACATAAATGTTTGGATACCATATACGTCAGTGTGTTCAGTGTCCGATCCCACTGGATTTATAAATAACGAAGTGTAAAATATGACAATATTTCAAGAGCTCGACCCCACTAACCTTATTTATGTGCCGAAGTATGATGTTTCAAGAGATCGAGCCTGTAAAATGAAAACGTAGCATTAGTATTCAAAGTGTTAAATCCCGTTGAGAGAAAGACCATATTGAAAATGCCCTGTGACCAAAATTTTATAAGAAACGATTTAGCATTGGAAACTGTGTATCTGTATTTATACAGGTATTATGTTAAATAAACACATCGGATTTAACACTGAATAAACCCATAGTTTGTTGTGGCTGAATCTATCAAATATCTATTATTATTTATTTCAATTAATAAGATCTCATAATCCAAATGTTACTGCTCCTTTATCATCATATATTCAGTAGGATCGAGCCCTGAAAATACTGATGTTTAACTATCTTTTAAAACATCCAGAATCATCACAAACAAGGAGGAGAAGTAGGAGGGAACCTTCCCAACCCACCAACCGTGCCCCTGCTCGGTATAATGCACAGGGCAGACATATAGACGCCGTAATTACCACCTCCTTTTGTGACCATTTGTGGGATCAGAGCGTGTTAGGCCATTAGTGAGGGAGGGAGGCGGCGTGGTCAGTGGAAGGAGCCACCACCGCGTCTCCTAGCCAGGGAGGGGGTCCACTACCCTAAACAGCCGTACTTCCTCATTACCTCCCTCACGAGTAGAATACAAAACCCCAGTCGTAAACTACAGCACTTTACACCCTTATTTTCTTCAGACGTAGGATTTTATTCCCAAAATTACACCATTAATAAATAAAATGCCACATCAAAGTAATGTAGTCTATTACCTTCTCCATTCTCTCGCTTCCTCTTCACCGTCACAGAATGGAGAATTAACATAGAAATGACAATAAATGGTGTTTATAACCGTTAACTGATGATAAACGCAAGAGTAATTGTCCCGCTGTCCACCTAGAGTGAATGTTGGTCCAGGTTCGCTTACAACAACCTCTCTCTCTCTCTCTCTCTTTCTCTCTCTCTCTCTCTCAATATTCTGGCCATTTCTCTCACCTAAACGAGAAAGGAAGAAAAGGTGGGGAAATAGAGGGAGGGAGTATTGTAAATAGAGAGAGAAAGGGAATGGGGAGGAGACCTAGAAGAGAAAGGGGGAGAGAAGGCTGGTCAGAAAGAGAGGGAAGGGAGGACAGGTGTGAAGGAGGGATGAAGGAAGGGAAGGGCACGACAACACACACACACACACACACACCAACACACCCTTACACACCTCACACCCTAGACACACCCTCACCACAATCCCACATCAATACCCCCAAAACACATCCCCACACACACTACCCACTTCAACACCCCCCAGCTCCCTACACCCGCAATATCCTCCCCACACCCCCTCCCCCCCAACACACCAGGAAGTGTCTCACTGTTCCAACAGATGTTAGGTTAAACGATGGCTGCTTCCTCTTTTGTCCACACCTGCTAAGACCTTCCCGACTCTCTCCCAGGTATAAATTTATTCTCATATATGGGATTAGAAAGGATTTTTTTCATTGTATTTTCTAAAGTTTATCCTGAA